TCTCAAAAATACTATATATGATCCGCTTAATTACCATTCCAGGACAGCTTAATAAACCTGCATTGACATTTGTTGGCAAATAAAATAATTCATTTTGTCATTTGCATTCACTCCAGTCAGCTCAGCACAAAAAGCTCACTGTCAACGAGCAAACGAGTCATTTGTCCATTAGCAAGGCAGGAAAAAAGGTAACAAACAAAAACAGATGAGCCTTTGTACATCCATTATCAGCTCTACTGCTTTATAGGCCTCAGAGGCTCCCACACTCTTAAACAGATGTCATGAAATGTTTAAAGCTGAGCTACACCGAGACCCATCAGCATAGTAAATGTGAAGTGGGAAGAGATTTAGAAGATTTAAAGTAATGGAATAATTACCATGAAGAAGCACAGCACAGCAGAGTCATGCACCACTAGTTGTGGCGACCTTGGATTCCATCAATATCATTGGCTGGGTCTGTCTTTTACCAAAGAAAAGGAAAGGGGAAAGCAGTTTGGAACCTTAGGGATAACTCAAAATCAAAGTAAATCTAAGTGTAATGAATGGATTTTAAAATACAAGAAAATAAAGACAGTATGAGAGAGAAAAACAATTTAGACAAAGATCAATATAAAAAGAAGGCAAAGATCATAAAAAGTCCCAACACTTATCCTGATCTTAGAGATACTGTAACCTTTGAAGTCATTTCCAAGGCATTAAGAGAAGAACTGTGATACGTTCCCCTCTTAATTGATTTGTTATTTGCCCCAAGGACTGCGTGCAAGTGTTTATAGAGAGCAGACGTGACTCTTTCTGTGTATTTGGGATCTCTCTGATGTGTATTAGTGCTCCACACCAGATGAGAGTGCTGTGATTGTGCTGCCTCTTAGGTGAGGAAAGGTGCACTGACAGAGATAGAGATAAAGAACGGTGGGGGATATAAACATGGGTGGCCGTGGAGGTGAAAGGGTCAGAATGTGTTTGTTAATCAACAAAGACTGTGGCAGAGTAAACTGAGGGCAGCTTTGACAATCACAAGGCAGAAAACAGCCTAAGAACATGCTGACAAAACAGATAAAGGATCTCCCTCCTCACATTTCACCTTCTCAGCTTCTTTTCCTTTTTCTCATAATCACTCTTCCATATGGCCCGAGCCCCCCTTCCTTCCCTCACCATATCTTAGTGGGATTTGTGATCTAAGATCAGTATAGCTGTAATGCCCTTCTCACTATCTGACAGATGATATAGTCTGCCCTTTTGGCTGCAGTTGGAATGGCTGCAGATCAATACCCAGACTGGCTGCTTGTCAACATTCACACAGTCAAGCAGACACCCGTGCACATGCCCAAAAACACTCAAGAGCTTCAAGTGTAGGACCAGCATCAAAGCCTCCCCGAGCTGGCTGGCATTTTCCGGAACAGGACCTGGATGCTTGCAACACAGCAGGAGGGTACATTCCCGGGATCATTCCCAGCTAACAGCAGCAGGGTGGCTAAAGGATGACAGCACTTTGGAATTTTGCACACAGATTCTAATGGCCCCATAGCGGAAGTTATAAAGTAGGTTGAATAGATGGTCAGGCTAACCAGCTGAGCGCAGAATATTTTAGAACTTGTTCGGCTTAGTTATATATGAGAAGAAATATAAGGCTTTGTTTTCACTGCTAAAGAAATGCATCCTTGGTTGTGTTCCCAACATGTCTGGTAAACAGAACTTCTAATGGTTTTCTATTGATAAAATACTTTTTATTGTACCAATACTCTAACTGTACTGAGGACATCCTAGTCTAATTCTCAATTCTGGATGCCTCCTGGACCAGCCATGTCCTATTGCGAGGAAGCCTTGTGGAAGACATGCTGGAGGGACTATGTCTCTGAGCTGGCCTGGTGTTGCCTTCAGATCCCCCAGAGAAGCTGGAGGAATTGTATGTCTGCATCGGGAAGTCTGGGCATCTCTGCTTAGAATGAATGTTACAGACGGATGGACAACGGATGGATGGGAGCAGGAGTCTAGAGACTGCCTTGCATCATAGTACTGCATCCAAGAAACTTTACACCTCTCACAGTTCAGTCAGAGAAAATCTGGATGCAGAGGAGCTTTTACACCTTAAATTCACTTACATTGATGGGTAAGTAAATACTTTCAGCAATAGAGTTTAGCTTAAACATTTACAATCCTGGCAGAAGAAAAACAAACTTTTCTTCCTGTCATATTTGTGTAGTTTATTAAAAAAGACTGCAAAGCAATTGCAACTGCTAAGAAATACTTTAAAATCACAAAGCAAACATATTTGTATCCGTATTTCTTTGCATTAATATTCATTACAAAGACAAATTCTTCATATTGCCTTGCAGCAGAAAGATCATTTGCAAAACTCAACACAAAAGACTGAATGCACATAGTTATACAAAAATTTGGTAAATCATTTCACATAATTTATTTTGACAGTAAAATATGTTGCAGCAAAACCAATTTCATGTCAAATAGAGCTGCTCTGCGACCCAGCTTTTTCACATACACCATGCTTCTCTGCACACACTTTTCTAAACACAGCAGATTTTAAATGACCTATGCAGATAAACTTTGTCCAAGAGTGGGTTCATATTGTCGTCTTTCAAGTCTGTTATATCACTGCTTCTTGCCACATAAATAATAATTAGTTGTATAAATAATGCAATCACAGATATGACAGGCAGAATTACTCTGACACCTCTGCACTCAACTTGTCTGCCGCTTCCTTCTCTCTCAAGCAGGTTGTAATTTATTGGCTCTCAGAGCCATCACAGAATGAATCAATGACCAATTACAGAGATCCATGTAAGGTCTCTGGTGCCCTTCAGTGCATGGGGCAGTGTTCAGATTGGAAAATAATTATGTAAAATGCCACAATAACAGGAAAGTATTAGCAAGTATTTTTCAGCAAGTAGAAAACACATGAAAAGGTAAACACCAAAACAGTGTAGTCTTGCACTCTCCTACAAATCCACTGAAGCTAGAGAGGAGGTTTCAGGGATAGATGGAGGGCTTGGATGATCTGCTGTTTGCTACTATGGAAGTGTGTATTTAGTATAAAGCAAATCATTTAATCACACCCATACCATATGATCATTTCAGTATGAATGTCATGCAATGTGTTCTCCGCTGAATAGCCCTGTTTCAAATGCCCCCGTCGTTGTTTCTGCCTAATTGCACTTTTAATCATGTTGAGCACTGACAAGTCTTTCAGTCCCTTTTGTTCCCACGTTTTTTTTTTTTTCTGCTACATGGAAAGTCTATTGATCCTGCCCTGAAACAGTCTCAGCTCAGCTGATTAAAGAGGTGTGGGCACAGATAAAACATCTCTGAAGACAAAAACGAAGGGGAAAAAACGAGGGGAGGAGAGGATATGCTAAAGATGTCAAAGTCAAAGATAAAAAACGAACAAGTGGGAGAACAAATTATGTTTTCCCTGTAGGCAGACATGGAGAATCTATATCGTTTTGTTTGATCCTTTATTTTTTTATTGCTGCATAATGCTTTCACGGGCCGGGGAGAAGCCTCTTTATTCAAAACAGAGAATGGCTTCCAATGTCACAAAGAAAAAGAACAATATTTAAATGCACATTTCAACCTCAGAACAGAGAAAAGAAATGAACAATTACTAAAAATGTACAGAAATCAGTGAATTACCTAAATCTGATTATTTTAATTCACCTTTACCTAATTGGGCTGCCATTGTGCGGCACTCATGGAGTAGTTATGTCCATGGGGTTTTTGCAATGTATGCCAATGCAAATTAACACTATTTATTTGGGTTCTTTACAGATTACACTCTTAATATTAATGACATTTTTGCTAAACCAAAATCTATTTTTTTTCCCTATTTGACTCTGAACAGAAAAAAAAACAATAGAATTTCCACAAAAAACAACTGGACTTGTCTTTCCCATTTTTAAAAAGTTTAAAAGAAAATGTGTCACAGCATCCTCTCATATTCATATAGAAAGGAAACTTGCAGTTGCAAGACTGTGCAAATGGAATAGAAGAAATTCGTATTAGTTTTGAACTTTGAGGAACATAAAAGCAATAACAAAAGTTTCATCCTAACAGAAGAAGGTTTTGAAAAACAAGTTTTAAGAAGCTGCACACGTAAAACTTGGTCACATCTAATCAGATGCAGAGAGCTAAATCATGCTGATAAAATTCAAAACCATTCAGGATGTGACGGACTTCCTCTTGCTCATAAAGACGTCAGACTTCTGTACGTTCTGGGAAATTTGTAGAGATTCTTCAAAATATTGTTCCAGAAGCATGTAGATAGATCAGAGACAAGAATTGAGTCATTTGTCATTCTTATGCATGCTCATAAATATATCATAAACTACACCTGCAGCCGGATTCTTCAGGAACATCAATGTCTCTTTTGGGTGGAAAAATAAGTTGTACACATCTTTATTCCACTGTCTGAAACAACCATGACTAGTATCCTGCTGTGGAACCTATGCCTTCACAAAAGACCTCCTGAACCTTTCTTTTGCACAGCATAGCCTCTCAGAACTTTTCTCTTAGTCTTGGCTCTGCCAGAGACATTTCTCCTGCCTTCATTTTAAGGCATGCATTATCTGCGTCTCAGCTAGCTCCTTGAAGCTACGTTCCTATTTAAAGCCAGAAAAACACATATTACATCAGGGACTTCTAGGTGGTTATTAGTAGGGCACCCTTACTTTTACACGGAGTGACTCATTCTCACAGTTAATCAAGATTTCTCACCTTGTTGCATTTGTATCTTAATCATCTCTGTGCTCAAAGCTGTTCCAAATGCTGCGTTGTGGGGATTTAATTAAAGGCATTGTGGAACTAAAGCATTTTGTCTTCTGAGGGGCCTTGTTAAACAAACAGAAAATGCGCACAAGATTTTAGGGGAAGAGTGCTACCAAATCCTCCTGGGCAATTAAAGAGTCTCTGTTTCATTTTATTGTCATGTTAGCAGATCATCACAGCATCTGAAGGAGGAATGTGGCAGGTGGAAGAAGAGATCTTACCTTTCACTGGAGACTGAAAAAGCAGGAGACTGTCAGCTCCTCAGAATGGGCTGGTCCAAACTGTTGAGACAAACAATGTCTCAGATTCTACTAGCTGAAATTTTACTTTTAGAAATATTTACATATTCCTTGATGGGAAATAATAACAAGAGTAACAAATCTTAAAATTATTAGTGGTTCCATTTGTGCTTGTTTTACAACATTTTATGATTTTAAGTAGTGCTGTCAATCGATTAAATTTTTTTAATCGCGATTAATCGCATCAATGCCTGAGTTAACTCGCGATTAATCGCATTTTAATCGCAAATTTTTTTTCTGATTGAAAATCATTTAAATACTCTCAATGACATACAAAAAATACATACAGGCTAGGTTTGTGCCAATGTTCTTTTTTTTAAATGAGAACAGGTCACAGATACTGATTTATGCCATAGAAACATATGGCAAGAAGATGGCATGTAGCAAAAAATAACAAATATGTAGCCAAAAAAAAGGCCCTGAAAACAGGCTGATGTAAAAGACAGTCTTTACAGTTAATACAGTCTTTTGAACAAAGACAAGCATTTTACCCTACTGCTATAAAATGTAGTACAGTTAACATTAGATGTTAATTAACCAAGATAATAATGAACAATTTTCAATCAATACATCAAAATCAATAGACCGACATCACTAGATGGAGGTAGTCTATGAAAGTTACTTTTCAGACTCTTAACAAAAATGAGAACACACACACACCCACCCACCCACACACAGACACACCCACCCACACGATACCGACCTGCGACAGCAAGAGTGCCGTAGCAGATTCCATTTCACCTCAGTAATCTGTTTTCTCAGCATATTTCAGGTTGCTACTAGTTACCAGACACTCAACTTGTTTGTTGGTGGTGGGGCTTAAAGAAAAGGCACTAGCGTCACTCAGTGTATGAGCGTCTTTTTTCCTTGAGGAGCTCCGCTCTTGAAGCCTATGAGAAATGCATAGCCTGGGGGAAAATAGCCCCGCCTTCTCGTAGGCTGCAGCGGGATGTACTTGGAAAATTTTACCATAAAACCACATAGCGTTAATCTCACGTTAAAAAAATTATCGCCGTTAAAATGGCCTCGCGTTAACGCGATAATAACGCGATAATTTTGACAGCACTAATTTTAAGTGATGTTTATAAACAGTGTTCAATCTTTGGAGAACTGAATTTTGCAGGTATTTTACATTGTAACAGCCATTTATATTAGTAAACTTGTTCTTTCGGGAAATATTTTAGGTACTTTGGAAAAAGATCCAAAATATTTCCCCTTAAATGTAAGGGCTGGTTAACTGCCAGGTGAAGCTCCGCCGATGCCAGTTGGGCTGTTGGTTCACACATTGTATAGACTTCATCTATGCCTCCACACTTTTTTAAACAAAGTGGAGCTGGGAGTTAACCATCATACCTGCTATCATTAGATCAGATTTTCCTTGGAAAAACTTACAACCAAACAGCAAAATAAAACAACACAACTATCCTGTTTTTATCAAATAGGTGTGACTCATACAATCAGCAAAAACAAAAACACATGAAAAACTAAAGCTCAGATGTTCTAGCTGCACCCGTCACTTCCTAAGTAGATGTGCCAACTACTCATCTAAGCTGTTCCAAACTGAGTTTAATTTTTCTCCCATGTATGAGTGTTTTGTCACACTGGTTTAAAAGCTGATCCTCTGCCGCACAGGTTAGGAATCCTCCCCCTACACAAACTGCATAGCCATAATTATCTCAGTGGAGAATGATAGAATGATGCACTCATAAGGTTATGCAGGTTTAATCTGTGACTCTCTTAATTGCTTTATTGAGTATAGTGCAGTTTTTAAAAGAGGAAGAAAATTACACATGTTTGCCTTTTATCAACCTAGCTCAATGGCATGATGCCTAACCATCAAACTAATGGTGCTGCTAGAGCCTGCTGCATGTAGGCAGTGAGTCCAGCAGGTATATCTTCTTTTTCTCTGATCAACACAGAGGTAATTATAGTTCAAGTGACAAAACAGATGCTGCCTTTGAATTAAGTGACACCAACAAGATGAGTATTTTATTAAAGTGGAATATGAATATTTAAAAACAAACAGTTCTGATAAGAAGCTTTCACTCACATTGTATTTTGATGAAAAATATTTAAAAACACATTCTTATACAGTCAAAGATGTCTTTAGTTCAGTGCAGAAGAAAAGACAGATCTCCTGCAAACATAATAATAACCCTGGCAGACATAGATGGACAATTATTTTCATTTAACCAAAAACATTGTGACTGACAGTAAATGGCCCAGGTATCTCCTAAAGGACATATAGGTTCATTTCTCATGAAAACAATTCATTTTGAAGAAAACCCCATTGACAGTATGTGTGAATGTATCAATCTTATTGAAATAAATATAGTATTTCAAAATTATTTTGTCTATAAGTTTGGGTCCAAAATAAATAAATATTTACTTCTGGTTATAATGTGTAAAAACGGAAGAACTCTCTGATAGCTCTGAGAAAGGGCTTTGCTCTATGTTATATTTCCTAAAATTAAGAGGAACAAAAAAGGAATAAAACAACATTAAAAATTTTTCAAACCTTTAAGCCAATGGTCTCAGACTCAAATCCTCAAGGGGATATCCTGCAAAATGTAGATGTGTCCCTGCTTTAACACACCGGACTCCATTATGAGCTCATTAGCAGAGTTGACTGCAGCTAGTGTGGAAGTTCGACTATTTTTATTTTTTTCTTTCTTTTTAAAGCTTGCTTTCTGCTGTCAGGGCTTTAGCGCGTTCATCTGCCTTGGTGAACCAAGCCGCTGCAGTCTTCATGGTGTGAGGTTCATGTTTTCACAGCACTTCACTCTTCTTTGCAAGCTGGGAGGTAAATCTGTTTAAAAACACTGTTTCCAGAGACATTATGCTCATGAGAAGTCAGGGTCTTGTCATAATTACATTGTACTTCCAAAAGTTTCAGCGTAACCAAATCTTTGCTGAAATGTGCTGGGGAGGAAGCCCAGAGGTTGGTCAAAGGGCCGTTACGCCGACAAAAACAGAGTGTATCAGCATGATTTTCTATGTAACATTGACTTTTCTGAGCGTAACAGCCCATTACATTGAAATGCGCTGGAAAGAACCCTGGAAAAATCTACAAGTAGCAGGAAACTAGCCCTTAAAAGTCTGAGACCCCAGCATTAAGTATTGATGCCAATTTAGAAAACAAAGGGGTTTGGAGGCCACGCAGAGAATGCAACTTCCCCTATAGTCAGGTAAGTTGAATTTTGGTTGTGGTAACCAAGTTTATTTCTTTATGTTATCTAATTTCATTATTTATTTATTTTTTTGTGTGTCCTCCCTGGCAATGTGGCGATAAGAATTGTTGTCTTAATGCCAGAAAGAGCCCAACAGATTTTACTCTCACAAGTGAAGTATTATTGCTTTTACCCTAGTGCTCTGCTTGATTTATATATGCAAATAGTTGTATTATCTCCTATCATTTTATATAGAGGTACAGAAAAAGGGAGAAAAGGTGAGAGAAACAGAAGAAAAAGAGATATACTGACAAAACTTAATCAGCGAGATGTAAAAAGAACAGCACAACCAACTGATATAAAACTATGGATTCAATGCAGCAACATACAGTGTTGATCAATATGGAATGCATAAAGTGGTAGTTAAAGATAAAAATTGGAGAGGATGTAAGTAACCTGATCCAAGCACCTGTAGGTGTTTGTGAGAGTGTGTTCGTGTGTGTAAGGTTTATCCATTGGGAAAATAATCAGTAGTGGTTGTGAAGAGCCAAAGACCCATCTCCCCGGAGCACCAAGGCAGCGCGCCAGAGGATACAAAACCCCAGATGCCTAAAGGGACCCCTGCCATTAGATGGTAATGTCTATGCCCCCCCTCTAACTCAACAGGCACCGGGCTCACCAGAGGCCCCAGAAGGGCCAGACACCCGGGCAATTACCATTTAACGACTGAACTCACACGCCATACCCCACAGAACCCAAACCCCGGAGGCCCCGCCAGGACACCTGCCCAAGGGTGAGACACCCTGGGAACTCCAATGCCCTGGTTCCACCCCAGGCCCACCCAGGTAACCAAGTTTAGCATTAGCAACAGTGGATATAGCATCTGGCCGAAACAGTACAGATGGAGATTGGAGCACAGCAGGCAAATGCAAGTGCCCCACTTCCTGGCTGAGTGAAGGTACACTTAAAGCAATGTTCTTTAAGACAAAAAAACTTTGCAAAAGCACAATGTTAAAGTAGGGCTGAGCGATATAGAAAAAAAGCTTATCGATAAAAAAAAAATGCATATTGATCGATATCGATAATTATTGAAAAGATTTGAAACCATATTTTATGTGCAGCTCTGCCTGGACTTTTTATAATATTGCTAAATGATTTAATTAAAAAAAAAACACAGACTTCGAATTAAATCTTTATTTAACCAACTTTTTTAAACATAATAGAATTGTTTTAAAGAAAAATAACTTAAGAGACCTGAGTTATGTTATTAAATACTGACAAAGAATAAACTTAAGTGACCAGAAAAGTGACCAAAATAAATATAACAAATAAATAAATGCCCCCCCACCGCCGCCGCCGCCCCCGTTTCCTGCTTTAACCTGAGTTATTACTTTGAAGTTTCTGGCCCCTCAGCATTTTTATCTCAATTGTTAGAACTACGTGGGAAACTGCCCAGAACTGAATATATATATATATTTTCCGAAGATTCCTCGGAGGAGAGCCACGTCGGGGCCTACACAGCTCGTACTCCTGCGGGTGTGAGCGGCTGAGATGATAAAAAAAAAAAAAAAAAGTTGGTTGTGTTATCAGACTTCGTTTTCACTGGTTCCCGACACATTTTACAGATGACTGTGGTTTGTTTTTGGTCCGACTTGCCATGACCGAAATACTGCCAGACTGCCGAACTACAAAAACCCTTCTTTGGAACAATTTCCTCCGCCTCTCCTTGCTGCACATCTTCATGTGCTCTGTGTTGTGGTTTGAGAGGGCGGCGCTTGGTGACGGCATGCCTGGGTCCGCGATTGTGATTGG